CTTTTGTTGGGAGACCTCTGTTATGCAAAAGTCGAAGCCCCTTCACACCGGACAGCTCATGCAGCTCGGGGAATGTGGCGAGGGCTCCTTTTCATAGCAAGGTGCTTTCTGGCATCTTTCCTGTCTCTCCCTTTGAAGTGGCCGCCACAGATGCCTTGACATAAACATGGCCTTTGGCTCTATGCATACCATGCCTTCCTGTGTGTGATTTTTACAGGTAGACAATAGTCTAGCAGAAACCCACTTCCACATGTAAATAGAATATCTCACAAAGTATCTAAAAGCTTTTACCACTACCCCCATGGTATATAAATATGCTAGTCTTCTCTTAATAGTCGGAGATCAGGTCAGAGACTGAGACCCGGAGATCAGGCCAGAGACTGGGAGATCAGGCCAGAGACTGGGTCCCAGAAAGCTGGATCAGCAGAGAGCTGGACAGCAAGGAGCAGAGATACAATAAAGCAGTAAACACAGACTAAGCCGTGCCTTGAGTCCTGTGTCTTACTACCGGCGACCTGATCTCACCGGAGAGCAGCACTCTCCGTTACCGACCCACGGATATCCTAGCTTTCGCCGCCTCCGTGTTTCTTCCCTGTGGAGTTCACTGGCCAGGACTCCGCAATCCTGAGGAAGGGCATAAGGGTGTAAAAGAGGCGGAATCCCGACTAGATAATACTCTAGTAGCAGAAGAAGCTCTCCGCTCCAGAGAAGTGTGTAGCTATCAGCTACAGCCAGCATCAGAGAAGTCTTTACACCTGCCGTCTCCAGAGAGGCGCAGCCGGCCAGGCCCGCCAGCCGCTAGCTAGCCAGCGGGACCAGAACCACGGCGGGAGAGTGCACGTACACCTGACCCTGGGCCACATCCAGAGTGAGTGCGCCCGGGAGCCCAGGCGCGCTCCCCACATCGCCTGCAGCCAGACTCACGCCGGGATTAGCCAGGTGTGGCGGAGACCCCAGGGTGCCCGCACACACCACGCCGGGGGTCAAGCGACGCACCATACAAAATTTGCACAAACTTGAACCTCAAATGTTTTCATGGGCAGATGGAACAATGTCTATTCATACCACAGAGTATGACACTCAAAAGAAATGATTCTACAAAAGTCTAGTTTAATATATTTAACGAACTTCTATACAGAGAACGGGTTAGGGCCATGGCTGACAGAAACACAGTCGAATCATTGAAATCCCCCTTACCCTGCATAATGACTCATAAAACCTCTATCTAGAAAGTTTCCTGAACAACTACTGGGGAACATCAAGGCCAGAGAGTCAGCATCTTCAGTATTTGTTATCGGTTAAATGTTAATCTGTCACGCCATCTCCAATGAAGCCCGCGTTGAGATCCTCCGTGGGTTGAGGC